AGAGTTCGAACTCCCTAGCAAGAGGCCCGAACTCCCTACTTAGTGATCGGACTCCCTGCGAGGAGCCCAAACTCTCCCTTTTGACCCCGTCACACAAAGCAGAGACCCGAACGGGCCCGTCTTATGACAATTCGGGGCCTCCCCTTCTCCAAACTCGAGACTTTGCCTTACGCACCACTCTAGGCACTTCGCTTCCGGAGCATTGAACTGGACGAACCACGCCGTATCTGACACCGAAGGAGTCTGTATCCAGGGGCGGCGCACCTGACTGACTTGGGATCTGACGCTTGACGGCCGCATTTCCAACGGCCACCTGCCACCATCACCTGTCACCATTGCCTCGAGTTACAGAGACGGCTTCGACAAAAGGAGCAGTGACGGTTCTGCCCCAGCAAAGGCGATGACGCCCAGACTGGCAAAAGCACGTAAATACTCATTCCCGACCTGACAGGAGTCTAGGAGTGAATGCGCGAGGTGGTTATAAAAGACGCTCTACCCCCAAAGAGGATGTATGCAAACCTTGCGTTATCTGGTTTATCTTGCCTTCGAAAGATTCTAACTTAAGCTTCGGAGCCTTTACACCGGGTTCTCCCTAGAGCTTCTTCATCTCCTCCGTTTCAGGTCCCCGCTATTCGATTCAGAGGCAAGGTCATTGACAACTAAGACCGGGCGGATTGCGCATCATCAGAATGTTAAGCGTGGGTGCTTAAGTGAAGGTGAGAGTGAGAGCAGAGAAGGCCCTTACTTGTGAAACGGGAAAAGGATGTGGTTCGATTGTTTGGGGAAATTGCAGATTCAGATTAACCGAAGACAGAAGCAAATGGTCCGTGAAACTAGTAGAATTTTCACAGAGAAGAAGAGGGGGAAAGAAAGAGGGAAGAGGAGAGAGAGACCGGGGAAGGGACCTGGTCGGAGGTGGAGAGGGTCGTGCCGCTGTGCCGAGAATTGGAAGAGACGATGAACAGTATTTTTTTCTCTTAAAAGTAAATTCGGGATGAGGGAGGGGTAATATTGGGTTTTTAAACATCACTTGTACGATTTTTGACGGAATAATAACGGTAAAAAAAGTGTTAATCAATTATCGAAAACAGTAAAAATAGCGTCAGTCAATTTTTAAACAGTAAAAATACATTTAGTCATTTAACTAACCCATAAGCGTAATTTACCATTAAATTTTCGTCACACTACCCGATCATGATTCATGCCTTAATTGGGGTTGAGGGTTGAGAGTTGTGACACTTGAGATTTTCGGAGTCCATTGACAACGGTTTATTATGAGTTAGTTGCGAATGCGAGCACGAGCAGAACGGCAGAGATTCGAAGAAGTCGGAGCACAGAGCTTTCAATTGTTCCATGCTCACACAGGCCGTTGGATGGGTGCTAAAATATCAACTTGCGTAGAAATAAATAGCCACGATTTATCAAAAACAGTATAACTGCAAATCACCAATTATTGGACGGTTTGGATTTGGTTACACCAAATTAGACCTAAAATAATGAATGCTTCCTGGACGATCAGGATCAAGCAAGGAGGATCGCGATCCATTTCATTGTTATTGTGTAGAAGCCAGCGTCTATTGAATTGGCATCCCCATTTGATTTACGTGAGAAGATCAGAAGAATCGCATTTCACCCAAATCCTAACCCTAGCAGCAAGCACACAGATCCATCAATAATCCATCGCGATTCGTCATGGGAAACGCAGAGAAGCTAATGAACCAAATCATGGAGCTCAAATTCACGTCCAAGAGCCTTCAACGTCAAGCTCGCAAGTGCGAGAGAGATGAGAAATCCGAGAAACTCAAGGTCAAGAAAGCCATCGAGAAGGGAAACATGGACGGTGCTCGTATCTATGCTGAGAACGCAATTCGCAAGCGCACCGAACAGATGAACTATCTCCGTCTCGCCTCTCGCCTCGACGCCGTCGTCTCTCGCCTCGAAACGCAGGCTAAGATGACCACCATCACCAAATCCATGGGCTCCATTGTTAGATCCCTCGACTCGTCTCTTGCGTCTGGGAACCTTCAGAAGATGTCGGAGACGATGGACCAGTTCGAGAAGCAGTTCGTGAATATGGAGGTTCAGGCCGGGTTTATGGAGAGTTCCATGGCCGGAAGCACTTCTCTTTCCACGCCTGAAGCGGAGGTTAATAGTTTGATGCAGCAAGTCGCGGATGATTACGGTTTGGAGGTCTCGGTTGGACTTCCGCAGCCAGGCTCTCGTCCTATTTCAACTAAGGCAGAGGAAAAGGCTGCTGAAGATGATTTGTCCAGGCGCCTCGCCGAGCTCAAGACCAGAGGGTGACAACCTTGGTTCTTCATCTCTCTCCTTTACATTGTTCCTAGCTTTTGTGGCATCTTTTTCCCAGTTATGTTAATTCAGTGTGTATAGTTTTTGGAGTTATATATGAATCTTAGCCAATAATTGTCATGAATTCTGGATTGAACATGTACATCTGGTGTAAGAATACAGATATACTGTACAAAGATAAAGAAAAAAATGACTTTCAATTGGATTTGGTGTTTAATGTGCGTTGTCATTTTTACTGGTTAGGGAGATTTGTGAATTGTGGTTGATTTTGAAATAATTTGTTTCTTTCACTTCTTGTGTTCTTGTTATCAGAAATTTGTGTTTAGGTCCTCTAGGATATGTTAGTTGACCCATTAGTTTTTGGTTGTGGGTTGATTTTCCATGAATTAGTATGCTGGGGTGAACGATTTCACATTGGATCAGAATGTGTTCAAGGTTAATTATGCATAAGCACCTGCTTAACATGATCTGTAACGTGTTTGTCCCAACTCCCAACTATGTTTTGCATTTCAACATCTTGTTTGGGTTCAATATTTGTAGGTTGGTAGGCGTGACTGGGGATTTCTTTCACAAAATTCTGTTAAATCTTGCAGACCAGTTCAGCTGTTATAATAAATCCAACTTCCACTTGTGTCGTGTTAGGTTGAGGGACCTTTTTGTTTGAGAAGGGAAGTTGTGCTAAACAAGGTGCTGCCTAGGTGATAAGGTGCACCCGTCTAGGCCACAAAAATCACAATATAAGGTGCCTTATTATAATACGTTTACTGTGATTGCACTGTAACATATACATTGTTACATTCTGTCGTATATTATATATTATTTATAATTGTGTACTGTGTTTTAGGGTTTCCTATTGAAATAAACAAGATCCAAGGGCTTTGAGAAGAGAAAAAGAAATAAAGAATGGAAGGATAAAGGGTTTATTCTTCTTCTCTTTTTTTTTTTTTTTTCAAAAACTACTTTTTCTCATTCTTACATTAAACAGAACAAAATAGATGTGGGGCTCTGCCCTTTCTTATTTCTCTACTTTCATTACTTTTCATCTTTAAATTTTTATGTTTTTTTTTTTTAATTATAACATTCTTGAGTTGTTAATTAGACATGAAATTGCTCTATTAAATACTTATTATACTATAGTTTCATGTTTAAAGTATTTAAATTAATAGATTTCAAATGCTATTGTCTTTTAGATAATGATGATATGCTATGTTTAGAGAGGAAAATCAATCTATTAGTAGAAAGTATTTCCCTTTTTTCATCAAATTTATGTACATGCTGATTGGTATGTAAAACTAGGGAAGTAACCTAGAATTGAACTTTTGTCTTGTAAAGCTCTATTGCTTAGGCATCCATTGTTGTTTAGAATTGCGTATATGCCCTAACAACTATGATGAGATCCAAACATGATTGGGGGGACCTGCCATGGTTGATCAATATTTGTTATCACTGTATGATATGTCTTAATGAGCTGAATGAGCATGCAGTTGTCCGTCAAACTGAATGAACCAAAATTGGACTTATCACATGTGCAAGGAATAACAGGGAAAGTAACCTACCATTATACCCTTGTAACAAGTGATGACTCTTATCTGTCTCTAGTCAAGACCTTGCATCTTTAATGATGGCATAAAAGACAAAATTCAAATTATCATGATGCAACAATCTAAGATTTGTTTTTTTTTCGTTCCTTGGAAAATAAAGATCAAAGATTAGTTGTTTCACAATGAAAAACAATTTCACAATCAAAGAATTGTTTTTCATTGTGAAACAACTAATCTTCAATTTTACCAAAGAAATAGAGATGAACAACACATTTAACCTTTCATGTGATTGCACAACTGCAAAGTGCAAAGGCTGGTTTGTAGTGCAGTGCAACTTGGGAATTTGGGCAATGTTGCTTTATTTAGAATGAACCCTTGATAAAACTTGGAGATAAGCAGGGACAAGAAGGAGGACATAGTGATGCTAATAACAGAGAAAGTGTTTGCATGTTAAGAGAAGATAGGAATGATTTTTTTTTTTTGATCAATAACAGAAAATTCAAATGATTAAGGAAAATAATACAACAGAGGGAAGCTAAAGTATCTTAACTCCCCACAACTGTCAATCTATACCCAAAATACAAAATCAGTTACAACTGGACTCAAAAAACCGAATTCCTAGTGTTGTCTTCTTTTAACCAGCTCACTACTGACTCATCTATGATCATCTTGTTTAAATGCAAATCTTTGGCCCTTTGAAACCCCTTCCAGAGCTGCTAATATCTCAACTCTCAGCGAGTCTCCCACTCCAATTGGACCAGAGAACAAGGCTAACACATTCCCTTTTTCATCCCTTATAACTCTCCCTATTCCAGAAAGCCCTGGATTACCTATGCTGCTGCCATCAAAATTCAGTTTGGTAAAACCAAGAGGTGGGGTGGGGGATCCAGAAGGAGCTTAAGACCTTCCTGACTGAAGCTGAATTTGCAATTTCCTTTCACTTTCTAATCAGATCATCTACTGAGAATTCTGCAAACAGATCCAAGGTTTTCAGCCAATGAATTACCCTTATATGAGCATGGATTTAGTCGAATGATCATGGACCCAGTTACCATAATACAGAGGATAAAGAAACAGATTGACTGATGCAGTCATGATCTTAGGAGACTTGGACAAATCATTACTGGTGTAAGTTAACAGAGTTGACTGGAGATTGTGAGAGGCAGGTGAGGGGTGAGATGGTCTGTCGGGCCCAAAAAAAAAAAGAACAAAACAGTATACTATATCACAAGCTAGATGCCTAAATGTTTTTTTTTTTAATTTATATATGGCCTGACGCCCCAAATACTTTTTTGATGATCACCTCAAACAAGAAAAGAAGAAGATAAAAAAAAAAAAGCTTTTCCTAACTGTGCTTAAGGTTCAAAATATTAGTTTTGCAAAGCATACTTGTAGTAGGATATGTATCACGATACCATTTGGACAGGCACGAATAAGAAAATTCATATAAATCCCAAAAATGCATTGATAAGGCTAAATCCGAGGCTCAAATGACATTTGAACCACCGAGATGCACATAATTAAGAGTTCAGACATGCATATATGACTTTGGTAACTGCTCAAAGTTTATAAAATTAATTTAAAAACTGAATTTATGCCGTTTTAATAGAAAATTATTTGTGTCTAGTGGTGAGATTTGCACTCGTTAATCGTTATGTGTAGGACTAGGACTAGGGGTAGGGATCTAATCGCTGTAGTCGCGTATTTTGTATTAAGAGAACAATATCCATAGAGCTTATAAGGCGTTTACAGATGAGTACAAGAGTGCGGAGGTGCATCTTTTGCAGAGTGGATTCGCTCATACTTTACGAAGGTTTGCTTGTTGGGTCCTGATGGATTCTAGCAAAGTACACATGCTAATGAATAACGATATCAATGCTTTATCATGGTGCGTGTTACAACTTACAAGAAACCAATGAAGCTCGCAAGATTCATTCATACACATTTTAGATGATTCAAAATAAATTGGGCAACCAATGTACATTTGCAGGCTTGCTATGTTTAAACTAGTGCATCATTCCAAAGATGCAGAGATTATAAGCAAAAACTTGCTGAAGCAATTTTGACTAAAGAAAAACTTGGGATCCTCTACTAATGCTTCAGTGAGGATTTGTCTATTTAACAAATCGGAGGTACATGCATCCTTTTTCAACTTGCAATAGTGCGTTTCTTCAAAGCCTTTATATGAGTGTGTTGATAGCATGAAGAAGCTTAGGTGCAGCCAATAAATTAATTAAATAAGATCTGTCTATGTATTAAATAAATGTGAGAATGCTGCTTAAGTTTCTTTGATTTTATCTGCTACATGCCTAGGGTGTTCACGGCACACAACAATCAACGGCTCACTTCAATGACTGCTATTAACATTTAACAACCAGGGTGACCCACAGATGCAGATGCACGAATCCTTTTAGAATTAGGATCAAGTGCCCCTGCAGGAATGCATGAATACAACCGAGTTCACCTAACCAGTAACCATATGGGGTCCGTTACAGAGGTGCATGAACCAACTAGGAAAATGCTACTGAAACTTCTACAGGAGACGATGAATTCTTTGTAAAAGGTTATTTTGATACATGACGATGCCTATCCACTGAACCACCACCCTCCAAGAGGCATAAGGTCACTGTAATGGTGGTCATATCAATGATGCGCGGGGAAAGTTTTCCCTCTGGATGTTCTTTCTTTCGTGTATATCTAGCAGACTGGCACAGTATCACATTCTACAAGACTACAACCTAAAAGTATACAATCTTCTGAGAAAGGCAGGCATGCTGATTTAGCGTCTGTTTGACATTGATGCTGTTGCTCCAGAAAACAATGATACATCAGTGCCACGTTGAAAAAATCAGTGCTGCAGGAAATGTTAATATGTTTGAAACCGTTTTTTATTCTCCAAACCATGCTTTGGAAATTGAGAAAGTGTGATTTGGAGCAATGCCAAATTCGACGTTTTCTCAGATTGGAGCTCATTGCTGCCAACAAGGACATGATATGACAGTGACGTGGACTTCATATAATGGGTACCAGTGCTAAAAATAGATATGGAGCAGTGATACCGAACAAGTGTTACTGTTGCTCTAAGAAACGTCCTACCTGGCAGCAATGTTTCCAAACAAAAAAGAAGACACCGTTTTCAATCCACACATCAGCAGCACCATTTTCTCTGCAGCATCAATGCCAAACATATACTTAGTGATTCATCAAGAATTTTTTTTTTTTTTCTTACAGCAACATTACAAGTGATTTCACCCAAATGCAATATGATGTGTTTTTGGTTTCTTCAGAATAACTGTTGTTAAAGCTGTCTTCTCAAATGCGTTAAGCTGAAACAGCTCCAGTCGATAACAAAAAATATTACAAATTTGCAAATCCACTTGACCATCATGAAGTTGAATTGGCATCCGTACTCCATTCCTTTGCCACCTTGGTCCCAACCCATGGGGTAAAGCTGTCTTGTGATTCAAATTCCTACAAAAGCATTTTTGAAATTCTTTAGAATCTTAGGATTATAATTAGACAATAACATTCAAAACTTCCATATAAAGAAACATTGCATAAATGGATAGAGGGGGACATAAACATACAAGCTGGCTCAGCCGGAATTCTGGAGGTGTATCAAGCTCAATATTAGCAGGATCAATAATGCTCAAATTCTGGCACTCCTCCAAGTCCTTTTTAAGACCTTCTGCACCTATGAGAGCATAATCAGATA